GACTGTCCAGCCAATTCCCTATGCACTGAGTGGTTCATCTGTCAAATCCATGTCTCTCCAATTTCAAGACAAGGATGTTGTGTGGGACAGTGTCAAATGCTTTGGGCAATTCCAGGTAGATGATGTCAGTTGCTCTTCTCTTATCCCCCAACATTGTAACCCTGTCATAAAAGGCCACCAAATTACCCAGGCAGGATTTGCCCTTAGTGAAGCCATGTTGGCTGTCACCAGTCACCTCCTTCTTTAACAAGTGCCTTAGCATAGTTGCCAGGAGGATCTGTGCCATCATCTTGCCAGGCACAGAGGTGATTATTAGTTATTAGAGATGTTATTAGTTAGTCTCTATTGACTGGCCTTAGAAGAAACTGAATTTTTATGACAGTTGTTCATATAGGTTACAGTTGGATGTCAGGCTAGAAGAAGAATGTATTGGAATGTTAGAAAGATTCACATTTCATTTTATGGTGAGATGGAGGGGCAAAAACCTCACTTATATTGTAAGCATGGTTTGATCAGTATTTGAGAGCTGGGGAAAGCTGTTGCATACAGTTCAGTCATTTTGGACAGATGCATCCTATTTTCCCTATTTAGTTCCCATAAGCAGCTGTGTTAAGCAGCTATCATAACGATGGCACAGCAGCATGAAATACATTAAATACTGTATTTCTTATGGTCAGTTAGCATGGATTCCTCAAGATGAGGCTAGTAAAGGCAAGACTTGCTTGTTGATTTTTTGTATCTTCTCATACAAAATGCAACATAGGCATCTGTGACTTCAGAAAAATACTTTCTGCCTCATATCTTCGATTTGAATTTTTCTTCTAATTTTAGAATTAAATAAGCAAGGGATATTAAAGTGACTTACTGAGAATGTATTGAGAGTGTTTTAATTTTTTTTTTTTATCCTGGTTGTATGAATTAAAAAAACTCTCTTACATTTGGGAGAGTTTCAGGCTTTGGTATCCCCAGCAATCTGCATACGGGTAATGAGTTCAGTTTAAGGTAAGTGGGTGCTAGCCTTCTGTCAGTAAGCTATTTTGTTTAGCAGAAGACCTTGTATATCCAATGCAGAATATTATCAATGCAAAATAATAGTAGTAATTATGTGCAGGTGCATATGCAAACAATCATAGCTTTTTATGACTTGCAGTTCTGGAGAATGAAAACAAAAAGGAGAGAAAAATATTAACATCTTTTGCTGATTTTCTGTATGGTGAAGGAGGTCTTTAATGGGACCTCATGAATTAAGGCAAGGGTTTAAACACGAGCCCCAGTGTTTAAAGCTTGACACTTTCTGTTCTGTTATCCAGGCTTTGCACAGATTGCAGAAGGGTGGCAGGTTCTCTGTCAGCTGCTTAGTGCTAACCTTGACCATACGCTTTCTATGATTAATGTGAAGTAGCCTCTTCCTTTTTCACACGTAAGTGGATAAGCCACCTTTATGAGCTCACATGTGTTGCATGATGCTGCAGGTTAAAAGGACTTATTATGCAGGTAGATGTTGTGATGAAATTGATTTATAGGAGGTTTTTTTATGTGGCAAAGCCTTTTGTATAGCAAGGATATTAAAATTTTCAGTATTATTAAATGAATAATAAAAAATTTGCATATGCAAGAATAAACTTCAAGTTTCTCAATATATTGTTAAATATGAGGATGTTATCTGTCAAGATCTGTGAAACGGCTCAAAAAGACTGAGTGCTTTGTGTTACCTACTTTTGTTTTGCAGTGCTTATCTTTCTGAATAAAAATAGTATTCATATATTTTTCTTCTAATGTTGAAATTCTAAAGCTGTGCTTTCACTTCGGGGATTCTTTTTGTGGAGGTTGTTCTTGAAGATTTTTGTGTGGAAAAATAGAGGAAATGACTGGATTTTGATGCAGAATTGGAATGCTTTGCAATATCCTAAGTTTCAAAGAATCAGTTAAGATGCTACGTTATCTACCATTAAGCATTATGTAAAAATAACCACTGTGACATGAATATTTAATTTTTAGTATGACTGTTTAAAGCAGGTCTTTGAAAAGAATTGGAAACCCATGCAGCTATGTTAACTTCGAAGTCTACTTTTTAATTCACTGATTCCAATAGTAGCCATTTCTAACATTCTATTTTAACCACATGTGTGGTTATAAATTCTGTATTTCTTTTTGTATTGCCAGCACTGGACAACTATAATTTAGGACTGAGTGGAAAAAAAGAAGGAACTTAAAAACTAACTCAAAAAAAGTGTGAAGACATTTGAATTGGAACTTAAAATAAGAAGCTGCAAGTTCAGTTACATGATTTGTAAAATTGTAGACATTGGTTTGTGTGCCTCCAGACTGTAAGAGCCTAAGTCTTTGCCAGTGAGTTTACTTAGACTTTATCACATGCCCCAGGACATTGTTATCTTGGAAAAGCGAAGTGTTTTACACCCATGTCTTGCTTCAGCCTGTTTGGGGTTCACAAATGAGACTTCCCTGTGCTGTAGCCATTGTAGGGACTCAGTCCAGGTGGAAAACAAGATGCAGCAGGATTTCTGTCTTGTGATTATTACATAATACTAAAATTTTGAAATGTATTATTGTACATACTTTTCCTGTAAATGAGTCTATTTATAATATGTAAAACTATACGTGATTTTAGGAATTATGTCATGCATTGATAATTTGATGAGAATCTTAACACTACTTGTTGTATAAAAGCAGATTGAAACAGCTTACTGCTTACCTGAATACTTAACAAGTGAAATATCAATAATCAGTGAACAAGGTATTTTGTAATCATTCAGCATAGTGCATATACTTTTATTTAAAAATAATTCCAAATATCTCTATGATAATTCTTGTGTATACAGGTCTTTGTAAAATTTTCTGTTTTCCCTGTCAAGACATGGTTTTAAGAGTGTATCTTAAGATATCCAATAACATTTATTTTTACTATGAAAAGAGGGGAGGAGCTGGAAATTTAAATATGGCTTTGTGCAACTTTGCTGAGTACCTTTTATTATTTAGTTTTCATTAATGCTGTAGTATAACAAGGTTGGAGACAATTCTTCCTTTTATATGAGAAAAATGTTTACTTGTTGTTCCACACAGTGGTTAGAAGTAATAAGATCGAATAATGAATTTAGTCAAGTTAGAACTCTGGACTTGAGCAGTGATTGTAATCTGTGAGGGAGAAGCTTATGAGTACGTATGAGTTTGTAAAGACATTCATGTAAAAATGTAATGTAACCCCTTTTTAGGAAATTTTGGCCATAATGTAAATGCTTTGAAAACATGGAAAATAGGAATTAGGTGCAAGTTGATTACAATCATAGAATGGTTAGAGTTGGAAGGGACCTCAAAGATCATCTAGTTCCAACCCCCTCTGCCACGGGCAGGGAAACCCTCCACTACACCAGGTTGCTCAAAGCCTCATCCAATCTGGCCTTGGACACTTCCAGGGATGGGGCATCCACAGCTTCTCTGGGCAACCTGTTCCACTGCCTCACCACCCTCAATGTAAAAAACTTCTTCCTTATATCTAATCTAAATCTCCCCTCTTTCAGTTTAAAGCCATTGCCCCTTGTCCTATCACTACACACCCTTGTAAAAAGTCCCTCTCCAGCTTTCCTGTAGGCCCCCTTTAAGTACTGGAAAGCTGCAATAAGATCACCCTGGAGCCTTCTCTTCTCCAGGCTGAACAGCCCCAACTCTCTCAGCCTGTCTTCATAGGAGAGGTGCTTCAGCCCTCGGATCATCTTCGTGGCCCTCCTGTGGACTCTCTTTAATGTCTTTAATGGCTATATTTTTTAAATTTATGATTTTTTTTTTTTTAGTGTAGAATATGAGAGAGTTTTTTTGTTCTTTGTTGTTTTTTTTTTTTTGTTTTTTTTTTTTTTTTTAATAAATGTTGAGGTATATTGATGCAGTTTCTGTAGGTGTTAATCGTTCTCTGGAAACCTAAGCTGGTGGTTCAAATGTCCAATGTGTAGACACTTTATATGTCTGATTGAGAAGCCTAATGTTGAGACATTGAAATATCTCTTCCAGTTTAATAACGTTATGCATGAATTCTAAAAATATGTTTACCATAACTTTTCTTAACTTTCTGGTTGGATTTTGGGTAGCAATGCACATGATTTTTGTGGTTAAGGTAGTTGTGTTTCTGGAGTTTGTCTTAATCCACAGCAATATGATGGTGATAATCCAGTCTCTTTTTATGGTATTAGAAAGATGAGGCTAGCTATTATCTGTATTCTGAGGAAGGCTTTTGCCTTTCTGCCCCTTGTGGAACTAGGTATAAAGCAGAATCAAGATGCTGAATGACCTCGATTTCTGTTACCTACAATGGGGAAAAAGGTCATCACCTGAATTTGGAGTGTGAGGTTTATTTTTTTAATAGAAGTCTTAACAGTCTTAAAAAGTCTTAAGTAAAGTAGTATGTATTTTAACTGAAATGAAATGGCAACTGTATTTTGGAATATGAGCAATACCTTTGCTAAAACACATATTTTCCATTGGATAAAGAAACATAGATTGTACTTCATTGTAAGAAAATACTCAGTTTATATAATTTACAATACATAGATGCTTGAAGATCTTTTGAGTTAATATGTTTGTTAAATATTTATTAAAATGTATAGAAATATACGTTAGTGGGTTTGAGAGAGAACTGACAGAATACCTAGCAGAGAAATCAGTGGAGATATTGGTTATAAAGAGGTGGCATCGTGCTGTCCGGAGAGAACTGAGCTAGCTCTAAGAAGTTAAGAAGCATCTCGAGTAGCATCCATCTGGTAATGTGTTACTCTTTTTGGATTAATTAGTCTTCCATCTCAGTACTTGTGGTGGTCTTGCAAATGAAGATGTTTTATTCTTAATTAGTTGACTTTTGGTGTCTCCCCATAGCATTGCAGTGTGCTATGTACAGATAACTTTTTACAAGGCATGGCAGATCGGAAAATTTTATGTCATGTTTGTTGAACATCACAGATATGTTCATAACCTATTTCCATTTTGCAACAAATCAGGTGAGGAGCCAGGAGGGGTAGCCAAGAAAAAACCTAAAGTCAAAGGTATTTTTAATGTTCTTTTTCTTGTGGAACTTTATGCAGATAATGATGTCTGAAATGCATGCGCATTGCAAATACAGATTGCAGGTTATAATAATGTTTACTAATACTAGCTGTGTTGGCTAAGTGTTCTCTAATGGTGCAGCAAACTATTATCCTCCCCATTTTTCTGTAAGGTTTGTGTTTGTTTTGTTTTGTTTTTTTTTTCCACTACCGATTGTAATTTAATGGCAATGTGAGCGCTTTCCTTACTAGAACAGATTTTGTTTGTGCAGATGATTTTACAGCAGTTGCCTTGTTTGGATTATAAGTAGTTTGTTAACTTCATATACTGCATGTTTAAAAGTAGTTCTGATGTATATGTGAATTTTGCTCTGTGTGAAATCCTCCTTTAGTTATCTTGCATTAATTCATGCTACTATTACTATATTGTAATTGGACTTGAACACCTTAATTTCTGTTTAAGTCTCTACTTAAGTAAGTCTATACTTAAATAGTTTCATCTATTTCTTTCTTATGGGAGGAGAAATTTAGGTGAAGTTCAATAACTTCCTCTTTAATATTATTTGCAGGATTGATTGCAGTGATGATGTTTATAAATTTTCCAAAAGCCTAATGTAGGATCACTTGCAACTGATTTATGCCACATGTTTATTTGTAATTACATTGCTGTATGAACAGGATGTAATAGTCTAAACGTGTTCAGTGCAACAGAGAAATTAAAAAGGCCATTTAGCCTAAGCAAAAGACCAGACTACCAGTTGTACTTCAGGTGCTTAAATTTTTAGATGTGCTTAGTTATCTCCACACAGCATGGTGCTATGTAAAGAACACAGTCTCTTTGTGGCGTTAAAGACACTTAGACTTTAATATGTTGGGTTTTTTTTCCTAGCCTGTGAAAAATGCATGTTGTTTGTAATACAAAATCTCATTAGGAAAAAAGTGCGTTTGCTGAGGGAAACTCTCCTGCTCGTAGAAATGGGACTTGTCTTAGCATCTTGCATGCAAGTTGAAATTTTTAGTGTTTCTTCCACATTGTGCTTGGTATGACTTGATTGCAAGTTGTGTGTTTCCAAGAATGTAGCAAAAGTCATTTAACAGTTCATTCCTGAGTTTTGAATTATTTTTTCAATATTTGATATGAAAATGAAGAAATGGTATGATGTATTTCAAATGCTTTATGCCAAAAAACAGTTGGAAGGAACCGTGATATTACGACTTTTAGGCTGAGCTGTGTGATTGAATTGTTCACTCGCAGAAACGTTAACACAGCGATTAGAGGCAGATGTTACAGGAGAAATGTTGTCACTTGCCTGCTTTTTACCTCAACAGACTGCAGTTTCTCTCAAAAGTCCGAATAAATATAGAGCTGTTGTATTTTTTATATAAAATCTTTATTGCCTTTTTTAATAATGTGAGTGTATTAATTTTAAAATTAAATACAAATACTGCATACAGAGATTTAATAGAAAAATTTCTAAATTTTATTGAGTTAAAAATTCCTTATTCTGGAGAATGCCAGTACCAGCAGCAATGTTGTTTGTGGGGAAAGTGGAAGTAAATATTGAACATTTAGATTTCAAGAATGCTGTTCTAACTTTTTCTGATATATTATCTAGATACCACATCACAGCCAACTGTGAATAGAAATAGAGAAAATAAGCACAAGAAATACGACTCCAAAAGTAAAACAAACTAAAAAAGTATTACTAATAATGCCACATGTGGAAAAGCAAAGATGTAAGAATTAATTTACAATTATTACTTTGATTTCACTGAATATGGTCAAACCAAGTTAACTTTTTGGAGTTGATTTAATTCACCAGGGCGCTGCTGTTTCTTCTGAATTGTTGTATGCTCTACTTCTTATTTTTGTAAAATGCATACTTAAGATACATTTTTAAGTCTTGGCCTGATCTGAAGTAACAATGTCAATAAGTTGTTGTAGTATACATTTGTGTTGTTACAACATTCATTTGTAGTTTTAGAAAGTAGAGAAAATTGTGGAAAAAAAAATTCTTCTGGTGATGCTCTTGACATTTCTAGATCCTACAATGGTGGTACCATTGTCAAAGATACAACATTTACTGTGATTTTTTGTGCTCACAGACAGAACTGTTCCTAGCAGTCTGCAGAAGTTAGCTAACTGTAAGATAATAGAGGCATGGTTTTCACTAGATTAATGCTTTTTTTGGATGTGGTCACAGTAAGCTAAGGTTGGCTGGCTGCATGGTGTGAGTTACTGCTAAAAGTCAGAACTAATTTGTTTAAATGGCTTAAAGCTTCAATATTTAATTATACAGGTTTAAATTGTCATCTAACAAACATTAAGTAAGAATTCAGTCAAAGCTTTTAGATAGTTGCTAATGTTTTCTGATCTAAGAATGGTTCTTTTATTGATCGTTTCCTCTTTTATAAATGAAAACCTAAAAAGTAAAAGAAGCAATTAAAGAACCACTCAAGAAATTAAAGGAGAAGCAGGAATCCAAGAAGGACGAAATTAAAGATGAGGAAGAAAAAAAGAAAGCCAGGAAAGAAAAAGATGCTACTGGTCGAAAGGACAAGAAGGCTGTTGATGTGAATAAATTAAAGAAAGATTCTGACAAGGCTAAAAGAGACAGAGGAAAGGAAAAGGAAAAAGGCCTAGACAAAAATGTAAAATCCAAGGAGACTACAAAAAAATCAGTCAGTGAAAAGGATGGTACTATTCAGGTGGGAAAAGACAAAGAAACAAAAAAGATAGTTAAAAACCCATCCAAGGAAGACAAGAAAGAAAAGAAATAAATGGAGTTGTGATTGTGCTAATGAGGAACAGACCTCAAGAATGAGAAATTAAGCATATTTATATGAATGTGGTAAATATGGCAGTAAGAATATAATATTTTCTGGAAATAATTGTGAACAAAGGCTCTATATAATTATTTTTTGAAAACTGTTAAGCGTGTACTGGCATTGTGAACACAAAGCAAGAATGTCTGCTGTGAAACTCAAAATGTGTACATATGTTAATATGCCTGGCTAACAATATGTATTGAAAACAGAAATGTCAAATTGATGCCAGTTACTTCAAGTACACGCTAAACCTGGTGAGTTTTTTTCCCTCTCTTTGTTTTCTTGTATTAAAATGCTATTTTCTTGATCTGGGGTTGAAAATGTAATGTTGTGTATCAAATGCAAGTTTAAAAGCAATATTAAGAGGATTATCTGACACATATAGTGGAAACTCACAAAAAAATATTTCTATTTCAAAAAAATAGCCAAGAGGAACATCAGTTGAATGTATTGTCAGAGGAACTTAGCAAATAAATGTAAATTATTCACTGCTAAACTTTTTTTCCTTGAGTAGACTGAGAAAACTATTTTATACACAAACACTCAAACCAACTTTAGTGTTGCGTTTATTTGTAAGACTTCAGTGTACGCTCAACCAAAGTATCGCAATGCTTTTGTTTATTGATCCTGTGACAATATGTTCAGCTTTTCTTTCATCCTTTCTTTCTTTCTTTATTTTTTAGCTGTCTTTAGGTCTGAAAACTTGATTCAATGTCACTTTTCAGGTTACTGTGTCCTGATTTTTTCTGAGTTTTCCAAGCTTCTAGTAATGAATATTCTGAAAATTAGGCCACTTATTTCACCATTGATGGGTATTGTTGGATTCCAGTCATGTTTTAAGAAGTGATGTGCTACTACTACTATATTCAGGTTAAACTTGATTAAAGAACAACTAATGTATTTTTGCAACTATTATTTTCTGCAAACAAGAGTTTTGAAGTACATAATGCTTATGTGGGCAAGCTCCTGTGTTAGTTTGCTCTTCTAGCTTCTGTATTTTTAGCACCGGGGAATGATTTATCCAGCAGTCTCATTAGAATAAACAAAGTTACAAAATGTTTCTGCAGAGATATTTCAGTATGTTATTAAATCTATACTTGCTTTCAAGTTTATATGGAAAAGGAATATTTTCTAATCTTACTAGACAAATCATATCACTTCGTATGTTGAAATATTTATTGCACAATAAAATTACACAAGACTCAGAACAAAATTTGTAATGAAAGTTGAAGATTTATTATTGTAATACTGCAGTATTGTTTTAAAGAAAACGAAACTAAGGACTGAAATTGAGCATGAGTATGCATGTGGGTGATGGTATAAGATTGAAGTCCTGAAGGCTGCTTCTGTTCATGGTGTTGCTTAAATTTTGTGTATAAGAATTGGCAATACACTTATCTCAGACTTTCCATACAGCACATATATGTCTCTGTAAGATCCTTTGATCCCTAGAGGTAGAAGATGTGGTAACAGGGTAAGATATAATCTGATTGTTTATTTATTTATGTGTTTATTTATAGGAAACTTATGAAAAATAGTTCAAATAAAAGCTGTAGAAAATAGTGCAGTAGCTTAAGATTCGAGCTGTAATAACTAACAGAGATGATATACTAAGCTGTTTTCTAAATAGTATGAAGAAGGAGGGGAAGACGTGTGTGTGTTATGAACATTATAGTTCTTAGCAAAAATCTTGGCAGAATGAAGATCTAAAAAATGCACTTGCATAATGAGCATTCTCTTTGAGATTTTGGTGATGATAGACGTGTTTATTCGTCTTTGCTGTGATAGGTGTTAAGTTACATATTTGACAGAGGAGCACTCAACTCACACTTCTCAAGATTGGTGGCACAGTGGTATAGTGCACATCACTTTTTATTTTCTCTGCTAATGTGACAGATCTGGGAGTGAAATTTGAAATGAGTTGCCTTTCTGATTAACATACTATTGTATTTATGACTCAAAGTTTGTCTGGTTCTAAAAAAGTTTGTGTTTTTTTCCAATAATGTTTTATTTGAGCAACACTTCAAGCTATACAGATAGCCAAACAATAAAATGAGATTTTTGCCCCAGAGATCTGTTGTGCCGTTTTATATCTCTATGAAATATTATTGTCATTCAACTTAACATGGCAAGTTATCACATAAGCTCAAAAAGTGCACCACACAGTAAAAACTGAGTACAACTTTATTTTGATAAAAAGGTGAGAGAAAATAGTATCTTGCAGAAGTTAAATTACTTAACATATTGTGTACTCAACAAGATTGAATAGGAATCAGTGATATGATTTCATGATAGATATGTATAAAAAGCTTGAGAACAAAGTTGAGAAATGTGCAAGCAAAACAAAGAAAATACTCTTGGTAGTCTCTTCGTTCCTTTTACGCACCCTAAGTGCTTGTTGGCTGTGAAATACTTCGAATCCATTTATTGTTCATGAAGCAGAGCAGGTGGTTGTCTGGAATTGGAGGTATGGGTTATTGAAGGATACAAGGAGTTATTTAGAGATGTATATGTGAGGGAAGTGAACTGAATTTGTGAAAGCAGGGTGGCTGTTTCTATGCTTCCAGATTCTGAAGTGTGAGGCAGTGGCTAAGTAACTGGTTTTATCTCAGTATGTAGTTAAAGATGATTGTAGAAGGAAGTAACTACTTACTCTTGTAGCCACTAATATTACTGCGGCAAAAAATAAATGTAAGTTTTAATAATATTTTTGAGTATTTCAATGGGGTTTTTTTTATGACATGGAAGAAAATTGGTAAAAAATCAAGTGTAAATTTGGCTTTTTTTTCCTCTACCCTCTGATCTTGACTCCTTAGTAGTGGACTCTTAAATTATAGTTCTTTTAGATATAGCCTAACTACTTATCTTCGTGCTATATAAATAATACAAAAATGTGTAAGTAGGATTAACTCTATTTTTCCTGTTCTCATTACTTATATAGAGTAATGGAATGAATATATGTTTTTCTCATGATGCATGAACAATTAAAATCTCTCTAGTTCACACAAAGTTATTTTGAGGCATAATGGTCCTATTTGTATTTAGATATGTTTGACTTCAGTAGGAACCTAGTAATTTTTTTTTGTTTAATTTATTGACTTGAAATACACTTACTTTGTTCCACTTAAAATTACTTTTATAAGATTGTTAGCGGTACAGGAGTGTTTATTACAGTGTAGCCTCTGCTTTCTTAAATACTATTTTTCTATTGATTTCTGTGCATACAGCTCTTGAGAAACTAGTTTGTTTTGGGCAGTGTGTGTGTGTGTGCGTGTGTTTATTTAAGACTGTAGTTTTATCTGAATTGACCCTAGGAAAAGGAACATAGGATTATAGGAGAATTCTGTTTGGAAGGACTTCAGGAGATCCTTATTCAAACATCCTACTCAAAACAAGGTCATCTCAGAGGTATGACCGGGGTACACTGGCCATTATCCAGTGCGGTCTGTAAAACCTCTGAGGACAGGAATGCACAACCTCTGTGTGCAGCCTTTTCCACTGATTTGATTGTCCTCATGGAGGGTGGTGGTAGTGGGGGGGGGGGCGTGTGTGTGTGTGTGTGTGTAAGTTGTTTGGTTTTTTTTCTTATACCCAGTCTGAACCTTTCTTTTTTAAGTCTTGCTTGAATCCTTCTTAAAGGATAGTTGAATGGAGGATTAGACTAATACCAATCCATTCTTTCTTGAGGATATGATATCTTAAGATGTGATATAATCTTTCGAGGCTATGAATTATCTTTATTTCTTGCTGTGGTTTTGATCATTGCTGTTATCGGTTGCTTTCTTTTCATTGTGTTTTGATCTAGAAAGTCTCTGTGGTATAGATCGTAAGCATCTTAGTGGTGAAATTCTATCAGTCATGTTTTTTCTGTAGTAACTTATTTGTCAAAAGAAACTAGAGATTGAGATTATTTTGAAGAAATTGCAGTTCTCTTCATCAGACCTTAAAAGGTTTAATATATCAATTCAAAATCTCTCTTCTCATTCTAAGCAGCACATTATAAGTTCAAATTAGTTCTTCATAAAACCTATAAAATTGATCATATGAAGCACTTCTTGCCCAAAGAGAAGAACAGTGAGAAAAACCTGCTGCTTGTTTTTCTTCTGGGTGCTGAATACATGTTGAGAGTAGCATAGTCACTTTGAAATAAAGGCAAATGCTTAAATTTCTGTTCCTTTTTTCCCCCCTCATAGTATGTTTGTCTTGCAAACAGATTTGTTTTACTATCTTGAATACACTTTAGTCTTTGTAACAATCACTGTATATGAGGACAGCCCTGTAATTGTGATTAATTGTTTGAATACATTTTGTAGAGTTTAACGTCAGTTAATTTAATTAAAACAACTCTTAGTTTATAATTGAATCAGATCAAAAAGAATGTAAAGTTAACTTTATAACTGAAAAATGCAGGCCTTAAAGAAAGATCTGTCCCAGCACAGCCAACATCACCAGAATCTGAGGAGACCATCCAGCCTGCTGAGAAATCATATGTTGAATCAGGTAAGACCTTTTGTAAACTATAGGTGAACAAAAGACATGATGCTTCATTTGAATTATAGTTCTGTTTCCTCCACATGCAAACTCATTGTATTATTTCTTTGGGTAGGAAAAGAATTCTTTCATTGATTTTATGTATTGCTTATCCACTATAGTTTATTTAATGGGAATCACTGTTGGTAACTTCATCTAAATCGCCGACCATGAAAAGTTGATAATTTGAATGTGTGGAAGGCTCTTGTCTGCTCTCATGGTTACCATTGAAACCATATCACATCAGAACAACTTTCTGCTGATGTGCAGTTGTAGTTTTGATATGTATGCGACAGTATAACCCAGTCAGAATAACAGCAGGTTTGCCATCTTAAAAAAAAAAAAAAAAAAAAAAAAAAAAGCAACAAAACAAACTAAACCAAAACTCCCCAAACCTCAACAACGAACTTTATATGATTAATCAAATGTTCTCTTTTGTACTAATTCCAATAATATATCATAAATACCATAAATGCAGCTGCTAGTGTTGAAAAAAATCACTTAAATGTTTTAAAAGCTCCGAAAATATTAGTAAAATTTGTTAGGTTCAGGAGGAATTCAAGAAAAAAATATTTTGGAGATCAGATTTCAGATGCATGATTTGTATTTTAGTGTTATTCAGAGAAATTGTATTTTCTCCTGTTCTTGAATATGGCTTATCTTACTTGATGTTTATGTGAACCTAACAGAATAACCCACAAATGCGGACCATGTGGTCAGCAAAACAGAATATAGAATTTGTGTTACTTTTCTTAAGTGATAACTTATAAAATATATTAAGTTAAGCTGTTTCCTTTTTTCCCCCATAACTGGTACCATTTTTGATCTCTGTTTCAAAACACAGCTGTGATTTGCTTTTTTTCTGTTGTGTTTTCAATGTTAATTTTAGGACATCTATATGAAAGCAATGCTTTTACGTCCTGAGCTGGTGTGTTAAGTTACAATCTCTTGTCCCTGAAATCAGTTTCTGATTTTTTTTTTTTTTTCTGCTGTGAATTGCCAGGAGAAGACCTTGATATTGTAATGTTAGTATCTATTTTCCCTGTTTATAAAGCCAACAAAACCCCACTTCTGCAAGTGACGTTTTGTTGTCAAATATGACATGCTAGTGCTGCTTTCCTAAACTGTAGGAAAGTAATGGATGGAAGTGTCAGTAAAATAGTAACTTAGAAAAGAATTATTGGTTTGAATAGTTGTCTGAAGTTATTAATGTTACTGCCACTGAGAAAAAGATACATGCAATTCATCTTCAGAATGAATCTGATCTGATTTGTACAAAACTTTCCATATTGGAGAATAAGCAAAACCAAATTCTTCTTGTAATTGCATGAATTGCAAAGGTTCATGAAGCCAATCTCTACAGAACTTTGTGGAATGGAATAGAATAGGGACTTTGTGAAGGCTACTAAAAGCTGCAAGCCTTGATCTAAAGTGTAGACTTCACCTTTTGCACTTACCTTCACCGCAATTTATAATCCTTTTAGAGCACAAGAATGCTGACATAGACTTGGAAGAGGAAATTCGATCTGTTCTTCATGAAGCTCTCCATTCCCAGCCTGGTAATGCATTAACACTTAGAAATCACTGAAGAATTTATAAATTTATAGGCTAGACAAATCTCAAGAGTCTGGTTTTGGTATGCACTTAAAATAGAATGATAGAATGGTTTGGATTGGAAGGGACCTCAAAGATCATCTAGTTCCAACCCCCCTGCCATGGGCAGGGAAACCCTCCACTACACCAGGTTGCCCAAAGCCTCATCCAGCCTGGCCTTGGACACTTCCATGGATGGGGCATCCACAGCTTCTCTGGGCAACCTGTTCCAGTGCCTCACCACCCTCAGAGGGAAGAACATCTTCCTTATATCTAATCTAAATCTTCCCTCTTTCAGTTTAAAGCCATTGCCCCTTGTCCTATCACTACACGCCCTTGTCAAAAGTCCCTCTCCAGCTTTCCTGTAGGCCCCCTTTAGGTACTGGAAGGCTGCAATAAGATCACCCTGGAGCCTTCTCTTCTCCAGGCTGAACAGCCCCAACTCTCTCAGCCTGTCTTCATAGCAGAGGGGCTCCAGCCCTCGGATCATCTTCATGGCCCTCCTCTGGACTCGCTCCAGCAGCGACATGTCCTTCTTGTGTTGGGGACTCCAGAGCTGAACGCAGTATTCTAGGTGGGGTCTCACAAGAGCAGAGTAGAGGGGGCAGAATCACCTCCCTCGACCTGCTGGCCACGCTTCTTTGGATTCAGCCCAGATGTTGTGGGTTGGCTTTCTTAAAGTACTTAAAGTACTTTTGCCTACACAAGACATTCTAATCAGCTGATCATTTTCAAGAAAATTCAAAGAGTTCAGTCACCAAATCCTGAAGCTGTGGCCTCTTACCAAGAGGTGTTTGGCAGCAGCTACTCAAATCAGTCAGTTGACAAAAACTTCCTCAAAATACTGGGTAGAGTGCAAGAATGGGTAAACAGAGATAACTTTTACTGTGGTTTTCTGCATGAGCAAAGAAGGCGCCAGCAAGTCAGTGCAGATACTTTGGGTTTATACTGCTGGAAAGTGCTGAAGAGTCATCTGTCTCCGTCCCCACACCCTTTGAGGACTACTTGAAAAGCACAAAGGGTGTGCTGAAGACCCAATATTTGCTGGTAATAGTATTTACAAAAGAGTATGTATTCTCTAACAATCTGTATTATTGATTAGGAGAGAGACATGAAGATGTAGATGAAAGTATAAACGACCAGTGGCAAGTGAAGGAAGAAACACATGGAGAAACTTTTGAACCTCCTATGACAGATGACTTGCTCAGAGAATTAGAGAATGAAATGCTAGAAGCGTATGAGACACCAGACTCCATTCAGAAAGGTATCTGAATGACTAAATATATTGAAAATTAAGTTTTGCCAAAAATAACAGCAGACCAATGGAAATATGTCTCATTAAAAACTCGACTCTTAATTTCTACTTGCAATAGAGATTTGGCAAATGTAAACCATGGCAAGTATTATTTGCAAATAAATATTCTTTTTAAAAATCAAAATGGGATATTTTAATGCCATGTGTTTTGGAATCCACGTAACTGTTACTGTTTACATGCTGTCTTATTGGCTTTCAGCCAAACAAATTAATCTATGCTCCAGCTTTGCATATCTTCCTCTAAGTAGAGTGACTTCTATAGTATCTGTGTGGAGTCTTCTTCTGGACTTTCAAGTTTAATTTTAAGAATTTAATTTTAAGAATTTTTAAAAATTTTAAGAGCTTACTAGCACAGCCTTTTGTAAACAGACTTATTCTCACTCTACTTTCCTTCTAATGTGGCTCACCAAGATAATGTTATACATGAACTATATTGCCAGTTCTGAGAACATGACATCACATAAAGAAGATGCTTATACCCTGCTGCCTTGAGGCATTGACGGGATGATAAGAATAGTCTGTGGTCGAAATGTTAAAACAGAATCTTATGATCTAAATTCAACTTAGGGAAAAATATTTCTGAGTGCTTTGTATCTGCAGTACTGAAAATTTTACATATATCTTAATACTGCTTTTTGAAAAACTCATGTAATGGATGTCATCTAAAAGTTCTGATTGCTGGAAGTACACTGAGAGTCTTTCTTCACAACTGAAGTAATTCTCTTCGGTCTGGATCTGTTATACCTCCTTGTTTCTTTATTTCTTCTATTCATCCACAGTGCAAGTTGAAGCAGGGGAATAGATGAGAGATTCAAATTCCAGTTACTTTAAATCTTTAAAGTGACTACTAAGAAGGCAAAGTGAATATGTTCTACTTTCATTACATTTACACAGAAATTTCTGTGGAGAGTGATTTTTTTTTTTTAAATGTATATAGAGTTTATGTGTGTATACACATTCTCAGTATTATATATAAGAATAAAATTATAAATTTCAATCTTTATACATACTTTGCAGGCATTAGAATAAATGTACTTAGAATTTCTGCTTAGAAATTTGACTGTTCTTACATGATACTCTGTTAATAATTTTTGTATCATATCTTGATTTTAAAACTTTAAAATTTGTAAATACATGTTTGTTTCTCAGATGCAGATCTTTTGACGGATGATCTTGGAGCAACAGAGGCTGAACCATATGAAGCTCCAGGTATAATTTTTTTTTTTTTTTCAAACTTGGTTATACTGTTTTTCTGCCTTAATGTAGCAAATTATATGAGAAAGCAAACTAGAAAAGGTTATACTGGCTTAGTCATATATAATTTTGATTTTTTTTTTCTTCTCCAAGCAACTGTTCTTTATTGTCTTGGATATTTTTTACTCTGACTGAGATGGCTGTATCATGTATGCTATTACAAACGGTTCTTAAAAAGGAGTGATAGGTATGGAAACTTTGCTTTCATTTGTGAAAAAACTTCATCTTTTTTATGTGCTTCTGGCTGTTGTGTATGATTGGGATCTGGATAGCCAAGATATCTATGGTTGTACGGTTGAAGAAAGTGAGAAGGAGATTTATTGCTTGTATTACTGTCGTTTTACAGTCTACAATGCTAAGGTTCTTCTATCCTATTCTCGGCATTAGTCAGAAACTTGTGTTCTCACATGCAACCTGTCACCTTTCAGAAGCATCCGGTTGGTAACCTTTCCTTCAGAACTGTGTGTTTCTTTGTGGCCGATTATGCTGTTAGAGAGTGAGTCAGCACCAGGGGCTTCATTTTGAACTATCCTTGCACTGTCTTTTTGCACACTGTAATTCGTCTTCAAAGCTTTTTGAAATTTTACCTGGACTAATTCAATTAGCTTATAGTCATCTTAGTATTGTGCTTGATGTCACATACAATGGCATTAGCTCACCTTTCCCATTGTGAAGAAACATTAGGTAGATAATGCAGTTTCCTTGCTATCTGCTAAGTATTTTCTTCAGGATAAGAAAATAATGCTTGTTTATAGTACAGACAGCCTCTTCCATTTACATTAGATGTTGATTTCTCTTTGGACTAGGCTTCTTGCCTTTGGCTCAATGTTAGTTCTGGACTTTACAGTCTTGTTAGATGCCCAATGTGACAGAAAAATAAATTTATTTGTTTGATACAGCTAACACTGCTTCTTCTTATCTTTGTGGGAGATTGCTGCCTTCCAGTTACCAATACAAAATCCAAGCTGCAATGCTGCTAAAGTAAAAAGATAGTTACTTTACCTTCAGTAACCATGTATTGTCGGATATATGATAGTGAATATATTAATAACATCAAACAATTGTAGTTACAGAGGAAAATAATCCACATGTTTAGCTATGCAATGAAAAAAAGTAAATTGCTCTAAATCTGTGACACCAGAAGCGAATGTACATATTTCTCAAGGTCTGAATTCTGGCTCTTATCTTGTCTCCTGTAGATCATCACCGATGGTCCTCCTGCACATTAGAAAAGAAGCTACTTTAGAACTTTAAGGATAAGGAAGATTGTATTTTTTTTATTCATATTAGAAGAACGATTAGAAAACACTCATAGAGACTAATGGCTCTTGTGGATCTAGTTTTCATACTGATGGTATAACAGATGACTGGAAGAGAGGGGTGGCCCAACACCTTCAATTAGGTTGCCATCTGTCAAGTTGCCAAGTATCTGTAAGGTTTCAGTTTGTCAGCTTTCAACTGGGGAGGTACATTTAGCTATTGAGAGACACACTATGTATGCAAGTTAAAATAATGGAGTATTACAAACATTTCATATTTTTCATTTTAAAAATATTTCATACTTTTCATTTTAAAAATATTTATTTTTCATATTTACTTTACAGTTTCATATGAGTATGATATGGATGTGGAAAAGACAGAAAGTGATCCAGAAGCTCCAGGTTTGTAAATTTTCATGACTTCCGATTATAATATAGTCACTTATACTTCTCTAAATGTGCTTCGAAGTAATGTCATATTGACTGTTTAGTTACAGCTTTATTTTCAAAAAGTTTTTCTGGTCATTTCAAATAGGCCTGATTTTTGCAGCTGTGCTGCCATTGCAGTTGTGAACACAACACTCCACGAATTCAATCCACAAATGCTTGCACAAATATCTTTCTGTCAGGAGTCTTCCAGTGTAATCAATGGATTGTCAACACAGTGTAATCAATGGATTGTCAAAGACCTACTTGTATTCCTAATGTTAAGCTTAAATACAAGTATACAGGAACTTAACATGTTGTGGGACTTACAGTGTAGCTCCTGGATGTTTTACAGTCCAGCTGTTAACTTTCAAATAAAACATTGTAGTATTAACTCAGTATGTTTAGTTCTGTTATTCTTGAACTAAATATGTGACCTTTTTAACTTCTCTTGTGCTATTGACCTTGTGCTATTGGTCTTGTGACCTTTTTAACGTCTCTTCATGCTGTTGCATGAAAATCTGATTAGAATATAAAATATGAAATATTTTTATTTAAGGTGACTCTGAGCTAATGCTAGAAGATGCTGTTGAACATTACACAGGTATAGTCCAAAGTCTTATATCTTTTTATTGAAGTTTTGTTGAATTTTGGCCCCAAACCAAGACAAAAAAAGCCCAAAACCTTGGAGCTTATAGATAGCATCAGTTTCTTAATGAGTTATTACATCTATATTTTTGTTTACATTCTGAAAAAATTCAAAGACCTACATGAATACTACTTTTCTGTGATGTCAGCCAAATGGACAGAATAGTGTTTTGAGAGTTAAATTTCCAGAGGAATGGATGTTTGTGTTTTAAATTGCATAGAAATGTTTCTGTGAATAAAAAATAATTTGAATTTACCAAAGATGTTGAAGTTAGTGTGATAAGTGTCAGGAAAACAGTAGTATCTTAAAAAAAATTTTCTTAAAAATACAAGCAAGCCATAACAAGTGGATTCCAAAATTCCACTGTAGAAGTTTGCTGCATATAGAAATGATTTATGAGTATTTCCATTCTGAATTGTAGGTAATTTGTAGATGAGTTCATGAGCTGTATAAGAAAAGCCTACTTATAGTGCTTTATCTTTTTTAAGTCTACCTTGTGATGCCAGAAAGTGATTGTATTCTTTTCAGAGGATCTTTTAGAAATCTTCACCTTTATTGAACTCTTACTAACTTTAATATGGTATAAAATACTATAGTTTTGAATATCTTTTTTGTTCTGAATAAACTTGATGCTGTATTATTTGTGAGTATTTATTGTCTTAAAATTCCATGAATTTTCTTACTGATTTTTCTTTTTTTTTCTTTAAACAGACGATAGAGTGCATGACAGTTATAATGAAGACTATGGTATGACAACTGCTATGTTTAATGAAATTACAGTATTAATGTCTTTCATTAATATGAAGGTGAAATTGCTTTGTCTTAAAATTGTCCGTGCTGTCACATTCTTTTGCAAGTTCTCAGTTAAGGTTTTGGGGTTTTTTATGTTTAAATCCGCTGTGTATGTAAGCAATCATTTTTTATCACTGAAACAAGACTAGAGTATACATATAGGTTACATTCCCATATATGTCCTCTTTGTCATACATTGTGCATGTGTGGAATAAGAATAATAGAATTATAGAATGGTTTGGATTGCAAGGGACCTTAAAGATCATCTAGTTCCAGCCTCCCTGACATGGGCAGGGTCATCCCCTTCCACTACACCAGGTTGCTCAAAGCCTCATCCAACTTGGCCTTGAACACTTCCATGGATGGGGCAGTCACAGCTTCTCTGGGCAACCTATTCCAGTGTTTCACCACCCTCAGAGTGAAGAAATTCTTCCTTAGATCTGATCAAAATGTACTCTCTTTCAGTTTAAAGCCATTTTCCCTTGTCCTATCACTATATACCGTTGCAAAACGTCTCTCTTTAGCTTTCTTGTAGGGTCCCTTTAGAATACTGGAAGACTGCTACTAGAAAGTCTCCCCAGGGCCTTCTCTTCTCCAGGCTGAAAAATCTCGACTCTCTCAGCCTGTCTTCATAGGAGAGGTGCTCCAGTGCTCAGATCATCTTTGTGGCCCTCCGAACACAGTATTCCAGAACGTTGAAGAGTTTGCATGCCCTTTTTCTTATGAAACCCCAGCCACGTTAGTTGTTGTTCATTGCATCTGTTATAGCTCAGTATTAGCTTTTCATCTTGTCCAGAACTACCAGTTCTTTGGATATTACTCTGGTTTAGTTTGATTTGGTTTATGGTTTGCTAATGATTTCGGAGACCAAATCAAAAAGTGAATGAGAAGACGACTAGTGGTCACAGTCTTGAAACAAAGGTATGTGGTTGTGATTCTTTCTGTGACATCCTTTTGGGGACTACCGCGCTTCAGAAAAGTTAAACATGTCTTCAAAGCACTCTTGTTTATTTTCCATGTTTATGTAACCTGAGCAAAGGACAACAATTCTTCACTTCAAAATATTTGAGACCAAAAATCTTGAGGTTCAATCTCTGTCAATCAGGAGGGAAATTCTGACGTCCACCTTTGGGATAGAAGTCAAAATCCCATTGAGGGACTTTTGGTGGCCCAACAGAGTATTCAGCCCTTAGTCCATGTCTCTCAGTCTGCATGAAAGAACTGTGTGCGTCAGCTGTGACGCTCTTGACGAAATGTGTCAGCATCAATTGGACAGAAAAGCAAGAGACACCTAACTTTTTTCCTGGATTTATTGTTTAATCTCCTTTTCAGCAGATGCTTATTTTACAATCAGTTCCTAATTTAGAATCACTTCTCTTGCTTCTCGCACCTAGATATGAATGAGAAGCACAACTTTTAATCTGTGCTTTTCATGCTCCTTCATATGTTGTGGTGACATGAACAGAGAACGCTTCCATGGTCTCTGCCCTCGAGAAGTGTCATCTATACCTGCTTTTGGAGTAAGATGATCATGGAGTTTCTCAAAGTAATTTGCACTAGTTTTCCATAGAGTCAGCCCCCAAACCACCTTATATTCTGCAATCTCTTCTGGCCCTGGCACAATAGCAGTGAGTGAGTCTATTTTGTGAGTAGTTCATGTGCTTCGGCAAGCAGTGTTTTCATGTGCGATTGCTACTGTGTGCTACGATGAGAGTTTTAAATAGTGTCAGGTAAAACAGATTTAAGTGTTTTGTTTTTTTTTTCTAGTCTTTCTTTACTATTCCAAATCCTCTGATTAGGCTGATAAAGATAATAGGAGTTTTAATTCTTTTTCTCAAAAGGAAATTCCAAAGTAGATGATGATTGTCAAAAAATTATTATTCTTGGCTACTAAATTGCCAGGCTTTTTTACGCAGCAAATTATGCCTGTAGTTCAACATAATCCATGACAAACTGCTTTTCTCTTGATAAAAGTTCACCTTTTCATGGCAGAATTTTGCCTTGCTTCCAAATTCTCCCTTCTAGTTATGAGAGAAAGCACAGTGCTTCCTTTGTATATTTTAGAGGAATTTCATTTGAGAGCTCCAGGCTGGAGCGGTGTAGAAGAAAAAGACAAATCAGATGAGGCATTGAGTGTTCTTGACATTTGCAAGATGATAGGCTGCACCCACTTTGTGTGTCTAGCATATTGAAAGGAACCATTTCTTCATACCTTCTGTGGTTATTGCTAATGCTAAAAATACTTTAGTTGAAATAAGTGTATGTGCCCACAGTGAAGTGTGTAGATGGATTGATCGTTTAACTCAGAATACAGGAACTCACTTACTGTACATAGCTTTTGGTAGTTCTGTGAAGAGTTTTATATGGTTTGTAGCAGTGCAACTAGAGAAAGAAGGCAAGTTTGAGATCTTTTCATTAAAATTGCAGAGTTCTGCATGTTTGTTGGTTTTTTTTTAAGAATGTGCTGTAAGAACTTTTTTTTTTTTAAAGGGACAAAGGGGGAGCCAAGTGACTATTAGTGCCTTTTAAGATAAAACATTGGATAGTAGAAAGGTTCTATTTTTAAAAAAATCTTATGGAAATAACCTTTTTCAGATGATGGTTAGTACTGTTAAGATAATAAAATTATCCGAAACCCTGAATGAACATTGGACTTCTTCAGTTGTAAAATTCACAATAAATGTATATTGAAATTTCAGACAATTAATGAGTAACATTTTGTCTGTTTTCAGACAATATCTAAAGCAAAATAATGACTATTTTTAACATACTTCTTCAGAGTTATAAAAATTAGAGTGGCTATTTATTCAAAGATTAGGTATGTAGGTGAATTATAACAATTGTACTGAACAATAACTTTGTTTTCAGTGTTTCATCTATGTAGATAGAAATGCTTGAAATTTCAGCATAATGTTCACATTTGGTATTTGTTTTATATGCAGAATTTCTACTACAAGCTCCAGTAAGAGTTCATATATCTATTCAGGCCCTAAAACTAGAGCAAGTATTTGAGTGCTTTGCATTTATCACTACAGAAATTGCCTGGATGCTTAACAACGAAATTTTTAGGATACTCCATGCGTATCAACCACCCAGGAACTTTATTTTTCTTTCCTTTCAGAACCAAAACACGAAAAGCAGACTGAGACTCAAGATACAGGTACATACATACACATATATGTGTGTGTGTGTATATGTGCGTGGGTGAAGTGTGTGTACACTCCCATACACATCCCACCATATATATATATATTTATATATATGAAGCATATCAGAAAATCTTTTTTCGTATGTAATTAAAGAGAAATACCTCTAAAATGAATGCTATTGGAATAGAAATTATATTCAAAATTAGAGAAATATTTTAGTAAACTTGGCATAAAAATAATTAACTTTATCTTACTATTTATATATAGTGAAATATGTAATCTGTGTGATCTTTAATTACAATATATTGCTGATTATGACAAATGTACATTACAGTCTATGTAGCTATAAAGTTAGGTTTTTGACTATGAACTGAGACACTTTCTTTTAATTTACCATCCTTGAGGATTCATCTTTAAGATCTCAAGTCACCTGAGGTCTCAAGTGGCAGAAAGTGGAGCATGTGAGGCTTTTTGTGGACATTTGGAACAGTATTTCAGCTTAGACACTCAACTTCCTGCCTGTTATAAGCCTTTCTTGTAACCTTGTAACCAGTGCTTAAGATCATTCAAAATTTACAGGCTGTCACTGCTAGCTCTGCTTTGATGCATATGTTTTGCTGGTACCTTTGTCTAATTAGCAGAATCAATTGAAAAATTGTTTGTCTGTAGTCCTCTTTCTGGATCCTGTATACTTTGTTGTCTTTAAATACCAGCTCTTTTGACAGTTACCTCAAACAGCTGACTGAAAGACACAATTGTTTAGTTTAGAATGAAGTCAAGAAATTCTCTACTGTAAATAAATTTTAAGTATCTGTTTTGCAGCTTTGTAATCATAGAATTAAGAGTACAGTCAAATGAGTTAAAAGGTGCCATGTTCAAATAAAATAATGTATTTTTCCGTAGAATCCATAATTTAAGTTGAACTTGCTCATTGTCCTTCAGGAAGGAAAGTAGGACGCACTGAGGAACTGCATGTTTATCTAAATAAAAAGACTTTTAAAGTAGAAGTTTATAGATTTTTTTTTTATTTTTAGTATGTCTAGAAGATGGAGTTGATGTTGCAAAAGATGAAAGTGGGAGTACTAATTATACTTAGAAAGATTGAACAGTATTTTTAAAATTTCAATTTTTAAAGTTTCTGAGTCTTAATCAAAACAACATTTCTTCAGAAGGTACAATTCTGAAATACTTACTTAATGAATACAGCTGTTCTTTAGTGAAACAGAGAAGAAAATTCAAGAAGTAATTTTTTTTTTTCCTTCTAACTCCTCAAAGTTCCTATTTGTTTATAATAGTTTACTGTTCGCAGTTAAACATATCTGTGTGCTAGCTATGTTCTTTTGTGTTGCATATAAGTTTCATCAGTTGGGGGCTTGAATTCATTATTGCTCTGAATTGAATGTTTTCTTAGCTGTTGAGGACCTTCCAGAGGAGGTAAATGAAGCCACAGAGCCAGGTATATATTTTTTAATTGTGATCATAAAGTATTTTATTGAAAAATATGCATTTTGAGATCTGATGTTAAAAAAAAAAAACAACTCATTATATATTTTTTTCTTTTTATGCTTTCTCTTATAGATGAAATTATTGAAGATTTTGGTATTGATAAGGAGCTGTCAGGTATGACTTTTTCTAGTTTGTGAAAGAAAAGATTTTTTTCTTCCATTATATTTGTTGATAAAATTAAAAAACAACAACAACAAAAACCAAAGAGAAATGTACTATCTAGAATCATAGAATGGTTTGGGTTGGAAGGGACCTCAAAGATCATCTGGTCCAACTCCACTGCCATGGACAAAGACATCATTCACTAGATCAGCTTGCTCAAAGCGCCATCCAGCCTGACTTGGAACACTTCCAATGGCGGGACATCCACAACTGCTCTGGACAACATGTTCCTGTGTCTCGCCACCCTCAGAGTGAAAAATTTCTTCCTTATATCTGATCTAAATCTCCCCTCTTTCAGTTTAAATCCATTTCCCCTTGTCGTGTCGCTATGGGCCTCGGTAAACTGTCTCTCTCCATCTCTCTTACAAGCCCCCTTTAAGTACTGAAAGGCTGCAGTAAAGTCTCCCTGGAGCCTTCTCCAGGCTGAACAGTGCCAACTCTTCCAGCCTTTCCTCATAGCAGAGTTGTTCCATCCCTCTGATCATTTTCATGGCTCTCTTCTGGACCCACTCCAACAGGTCCTTGTCTTTCCTGTGCTGAGGACTCCAGAGCTGAATGCAGTATTCCAGGTGGGGTCTCATGAGAGCAGAGTAGAGAGGCAGAATCACCTCCCTTGACCTGCTGGCCACGCTTCTTTGTTTGCGGCCCAGGATACGGTTGGCTTTCTGGGCTACAAGTGCACATTGCTGGCTTATGTCCAGCTTTTCATCCACCAGGATCCCCTCTCCTGTCAATCCAGTCATCCTCCAGTCTGTATTGATACTAGGGATTGCTCTGACCCAAGTGCAGGACCTTGTACTTGGCCTTGTTGAACCTTATGACATTCTTATGAAGTGCTTAGAGCTTCAATCTCAGGAATGGAATATGCTAATTTCTCACATTACTACTCAAAAAGATTAAGTTGTAAATTTTTATTTGTTGTGCTGGTGTCAGCTAGGTCAAACATAATGTGAAAATTTGCTTTAAAAAGTTAAAAATATCATTAAGCAAGATTTATTTTTTTTTTCAGACATGATGTTAGTTCAGTAATCTAGAGCAAAGTGATCTAAGCAGTTTAGTCTGAGCGCAGTGTGTAGGACTTGATGCTGTATTTATTTAGGTTTTCCATTTGAAAAATGTTTCTCTAATATAATTAAATGGAAAAAAACATTGTTTCACATGAATAACAATTGTAACCAAAATCACTTTGAAGGGGCATAATAGCAATGGAAATAATTTACAAGGATAAGATAAAGTTTTGGACATGAAATACATTCAGTACCTTTTTTCTACTCTTAAACTACAGAACAACCAACTAGGTTAACTTAAGTCTGCCATTTTGTTTGATATTAATTTGATTGGGTGGCTGGTGGGGAATAAAAGCAAAATTGTGCACATACTGTGTGTAACTTTCAACACTTATTTTCTTTGTAACCATAGAAAGTAAGCATACAGAAGATGTTGTGGCCACTGAACCAGAGGAATCAGGTTTGTATATTATCTTTTGCATGTGTTTGCTATTTAAAAAAAAAAA